CCACCAGCCACGGGCAGAACTACCGGGATGTTGTGTATTTACGGGGAGTTGCGGTATTATTCAAAGTCAGGCTTGAAAAATTCTAACTCTCGTCTTGATAAGGTTACTGAGGCCGATGAAACGTTGTTTTCTGCGTTCTGGGTGAGAAAAGATTCGATGATTTCACGTCCGGGGCGATTTCGGTGTCCCCCTCTTGTCTTGGTTTCTACGAAGTCAGGTGCGCATCCAATGCATTCATTCGCGTGAACCGCGAACGAATGCATTGGAATCTTTATACAGGAATCCGGGGCGCGTATAGGGTATTGCCTTGCTCCTATATTAAGTGAAATCTACCTGTCTTATGTAGATAGGACCATACAGGTACAGCCCAAGGACACTGGCCCGGAATGTACCGTAGTCCGCTACGTTCATGACTACCTGATTATTCACCCTGAAGCCGATAAAGTCGAGGTGATCGTGGCCTCGTTCGAAAGCGCAGGGGGCAAACTAAAATTCAAAAAGGAACATCCTTCCTCTAAAGGGCTACAATTTCTAGACCTGCGATTGAAAAAAACCAACGAAGGCGTTTGCTGGACGTTCAGTCAGCGTTAAGAAAAGCCGGTGCTCCCTTTTGAGAGTGATCATTCAAAGACTGTTAAGATAGGTATCATCAAGACGCTACTCACATCAGCTAAAACGAAATCCCGTCAACATTCGGCAACAGATAGCATAAAGAGCCAAACTCGACGACTCCTGAGTTCCGGATATCCGGTGGAACGCCTCGTGTCCGTTTTCCACCAGCATATTAACCCAAAAGCAACTACAAAAACGCTTTTCAGACGAAGGATAGCCAGCATACCTTATCTTCATAATGCTTGCCATCGTACCCGATTCCTTGCATCACGCTATGACACGAAAGTTGTCTTTTCCAGTAGATTCAAATTGGCAAGCATGTGCAACATGATCAACCGACAAGAAGCCAAGCCGGCTTGCGAAAAAAAGCACACCCGAAAGTCGCACGAAAGGGAAGACAGACGCAGACGACGTTGCGAGCAGGCGACGTTGCAAAGAAGCAGTCGGCGCTCCGATAGGGGGCCGCGATCAGCCAATCAGGTTCGGCGTTCTGACGTCACCTCTACCCCCTGCGGAAGAAGCAGACGAACTTGCCCTCCGAATATGCATCAGTGGTCTCAAACTCACTCGAGTGTGGGGGCCAAATAGCTTACACAAAAAAGGTCACGGGCCAATGTAAGATGAAGGGGAGGGGGGGGGGGGGGGCATAACATTTTATAGAGAACAGACCTCGCTCTCTATGCTTTTTATAAAATCGCAAATTTGCCAGTGACGTCTTTTCCTTTCATGTGTTTTATGACTACTCTGGGTCCTGCCGTGATGTGATAACAAGAATTAAAATGACACCGCCCCGCCAATGTGCTGCCATTTTTAATAGAACAAAAGAACATGTACATTGTGGTTCCCGTTGCTTAATTAACTAAGGAACTAAACAAGCTAAACATATTTAAAAAAAAAAAACAAAAAAACAGTCGGTTTATTCGACAGTTCTTGCTTTCCTTGCAAGTTCTATTACACTCTAAGCAATACTTGTCTTTTAATTGTGACATTTTCGAAGGCGAAACTCCCGAGCTTGTAGCTTTATTTTTGGGAGTTGCTCCAACTCATCGAGAGTTCGCGCAGCCCAAGATGCATCCTTCAGCGAATAGCTCGCACTTGCGGCCTAGTAGCGGAACAGTTGTACATTGCAAAGAAGCTGGGAAGCAAAAAAAAAAAAGCGAAACATACGGCAAATGAACACAGGTAAGTATGATCTAAGTGAATACGTTAAAAGAGCACAGCTGCTTTTCGAGCGAAAATGAATCGGCGCGAACAGTTCACGATGTTGCGTGCTTTTTCTAGCGCTCGAGACGCGCGAACCGGGACTCGTAGCTAGTTGCCTGCGGGCCGTGTCCCAGCGAATCACGGGCCGCATGCTGCCCGCGGCCCGCGTGTTTGAGACCCCTGCTATACACAGTTTGCACGGACGTCATAGCCGGGGCTTATGGGAAATGTCAGCGCCATTACCAGGTACTGACTTAGTTTCGGGATCGTCGCCGGCAACGTTGGCCGCTGCTGTTTTGGCTTCTTCGCTACGGCGTTTGCGGTGCACACATTGCACGTTTATTTTTTTATTTTCTTTTCTGGTGTGCTGTAGCGGTCGCGGTCGCCGTGGTGCAGTCATGCCGATGGGTGGGATGTTCGGCTGCCGAAGCAGAAGCAAGTCCTCTGGACAGCAGAGTAACACAGAGCCAAGTGTAGGGTTGCACCGTTTGCCAAAGGTGAAAACGTGACAGTGTGAGCGTACAAAGCTGCTGTCCGAGAAGGGCCGAAACCTCTGGCTTGCTCGCATACATCGGAAGTGTCCGTGTCTGCGGTAGTCACTTCATTATCGTTAAGGAAATACGTTGCTCAACTGTACTTGGATTTCTGAATGCTTCTGTTCGCACCCTCTGCGTATTGCAATTGCGGTCGTGGGGCAGTGTTTGGTGTCTGGTAGCGTCACGCTCCAGGGATGTGCTTTTATCTTTCTCTCAGAGTTTCTGTAATTGTGTAGTGTTTGTAGCACACTTGTGTCGATGGTGTTGCAGTGGAAGCGCCAAGTTTACCCAGCTATGATGCTGCGAAGTTTAATGCGGCAAGTTGGGGCACATCTCTTCGTTTGCAGGCAATCCTTCGGCTTTTCGGCTGTCATAACGATGCTCGTTTTATTCCCTGTAAACTCGTCTCGCTCACCACGACGGTACGCTTCGATGGGAGACACATCGCTGTCAGGTTCTTCACACATCCAATCTTAAAATATTTGTGGGCGTTCAGGGCCTTGAAGGGCTTCATCTGTTGCAGGCACGCGTAGTTTGTCGACAAAACCAGTAGTTAATTCCACATGCGTCGTGGCTGGCTGCTCGTCGGCACCTGGAGCGGTGTCCGCGCCGACGCGTAGCTCGTACGGATGGATGCCGCCGCACTTCTTAACTTTAGACTCATACCAAGCCTCTGTGGGGCACAAAAGCACTTTGAAATAGGAAGCGCAGGACTCATGTCGAATAGCTTTCGACATTGCGCTGCACGGGTGATGCAAATTCCGTAGCGAAGTAGCAATCGAGAGGCGCACATGAGGCGGCAGCAGCGTCTGTGTCCCCCTCCCATTACCTGGCGATGGCGGCCGGAGGGAGGAAGTAGAGGAAATGACGTCACGTGGGAACTATGTATATGTGCGTTCATTTTAGATTAGATATATGCGATCTTTTCAATAAGTGCACGTTTAAAACACCCAAAGCACCGCTTCTCCCTCCGACAAGCAGATCTTGTTAGAACTACTTCGCGCTACGTATGGACATTGTGCAAACTTTTTATTAAGGGGAGAATGAGCAGACAAAAACAGACGTCGCTCGACAGAGCTTTCTTTTTAGAGCACAGCTCTTAGGGGCCCGTTCCCTAAGCCTACGCCTAAGAACTTGGCCTACGCCAATTCTACAAAAAAGGGCTCTGTTTGCCTTACGTGATTTCATCTTGGAAACTAAAATAGCGGACAGTTATTGAGAGTTATACATCTTCAACAAGAACAACAGAAACGCAACACCAAAGTGGAAACATCATTACATGATAAATTTACGTTACATACATCCTTCAACTGTGAAATTCTGTATATAATACACCTTGATTCTATACTATCGCGCTAAATTGAGCTTTTAATGTAAAAAGTGTTTGAATAATTTAATGTGCATACCGCCCTTTTTAGTGTATATATATTGTACAGTGCACCACGTACGTTTGACTGAAGGAATATATATAAATAGCATGACAAATCATTGCACCCTGATGTAAATAGCGTACTTTTATAACTTGGAGTGTATTGCAGGGAGTTCTCTGCAGTGTTTAGTTTATGTGACAACTGTGAACTCTCAAGGAAATCGACACTAAACACTCAAGTTCAAAGGAGTAGCCGGCGCTGCTATAGCAGCAGCCAATGTCTCCTTTTCGTTTATTTTGATCAGTTATTAAAGAAAAAAAAAGGGCCCGTTCCCCGCTTGAGCGGCGTCGGCGTCGACGTCGACGTCGCCATCGGCGTCGGCGTCGGCGTAAACCCCCAAGGTCATCTGAAGGTCACCCCAAGGTGACGTGACCCCCCCCCCCCCGAGGTCACGTGACCCCCCCCCCTCTCCGAAGCCACGTGACACCCCCCGAGGTCACGTGACCCCCGCCGAGGTCACGTGACTTCCCCGATGACGTCATCGTCACTGATGACGTCACCGGCATCCGCATCGTCGTCATCATCATCCCTGATGACGTCACGAGTGACGTCACTGATGACGTCACCGGCATCCTGATCGTCATCGTCATCATCACTGGCGACGTCCCCGGCATCCGCATCGTCATCGCCATCATCACTGATGACGTCATCAGTGACGTCACTGGTGACGTCACCGGCATCTACATCGTCATCGTCATCATCACGAATGACGTCATCAGTGACGTCACTGATGACGTTATCGGAATCAGCATCGTCATCGTCACTGATGACGTCATCAATGACGTCACTGATGGCATCATCGGCATCGTCACGTGACCCCCCCAAGGTCACGTGACCCCCCCAGGTCACGTGACCCCCCAGTACCCTTCCCTCCTCCTCTTCAAGAGCTGCGCTCTAATTCGGTGTTACAGGGAGTTGTAAACGGCTTTCACTTTTTTTATAGAAATACGAATTAGGATTTCCTAACCTTGCGAAGCTGTGTAGAAAAAAAAAGAACGATTTAAAACGGTCGCCTTGTTGATCATCAGTAGAGGTATCGTGTACTGTAATTAAACAGGGATATTATTCAGTTATTTAAACCTATTTCGGGGGCATCCAACGGTGGCACTGTTCAAGATTTTGTCAAATCTGCGAATTAAAAGACAACTTTTACCATTATCTGTCGCACAAGCACAATGCATAGTGTGTAAATTTTCCCTTATGTTTCTCTTTGCTGTAGAGACTGAGAGAGCTCCAGGAAGTGAACAGAGCCGGGGCCGTTGACAAGTTTGGATATGTCATTCTTGCAGTCGGCCTTCTTGCTCCAAGGAGAGGCAACGCCTACAACTACCTGAAAGAGTTGCTCCAGTAGGTCCTTAGAGATTTCATATGCATCCACCAGATGTATTCTTAGGCCGAGCATTTTTCTGAGGCACCGCGTGCTCCTCACAAATATGAGCAATCCTGAATTAGGTAGAACTTGAAAACTATGGCTGGGCAATTTATAATAGTGTTTTTATTCCCAACAAAAATATTATGTTGGAGGAAGGTTAGAAAAAAAAGTTGTTTAAAAACCTTGACTGGCCATCAAGCCACAAAAAAATAGTATTAACTTTCCGCTTAATCGAATATTGCTTTAATCGGGAATACGTTTTCATCCGGTAAATGCTCGGACTTGAAAAAAGAAGAAACAATGACGAAAATTAACACTATTTTTGCGTTTTGTTCTTACCACCAGGTTTGCTATCTCAAAACGCAGTAATTATCCTGTTCGTCTGTAGAAACCTCACAAATATTGTCAACATTTATCATAATTATGCAAGAGCTGTATTTAACTTAAAGGCCGTGTAGAATTTACAAAAAAAGAAAACTTTTAGCCTTTCCACTTTGGTGAACATGGAAGACCAGCGAAGCTGTACTGAGGTGGGAATGCATTAATGGCCGGCCGCAAGTCGGCAAGCCAGATTGGAAAGGCTGGAAAGGTTCCCTCCATCTACGAGCCACGGCGAGAACGACGGCGGCAACCAGAGAACCGGCAAGCCGGTTGTCTGGTTGGCGGCGTCGTTCATAGATGGCGATAGCTGTCCAGATTTTTGTGCCATCATTTGTTTGCTGGCGGACACGATTCTAGGGAAACGTCCTCAACAGTTCCGCTGTAAAAAAACATCTGGCTTTTTTGGCTTGCATAAGCAAGCCAATGGCGTCCATCCAAGATCTGTCCACGACAGGCAGGAGCGCGGCATCCAGCGCCAATAGGACGCTCCTCAAAGACAGCCGTTTTCCTGCACGCGAAAATTCCTCAAGAGGGACGAAAGTTTTGAATCCCGGAGCTGCTTTTTCACTAAGAGCGCACCTACACAAAGACGCATCTTTCAGGGACCTGAAAGACGTTCCTCTGTGTAGAGGCACATCTTGATTTCCTCTGTGCCAAGGTGTCTCAGATCTGATGCCAAGATGTGCCTGTGTTCTTTGTTATCGCTCCCATGGCGTCGCTTCCATGGCGACATATTTTTCATAATCTCTCATAAAATTCGGTTTAACCATAATGACCCTAGTAAAGTTTTTTTTTTCTCAATTAACGCTCTTAATTCTCTAAGCATACGTCACCTTCGGAACTTTAGCCGTCGTCGTGCCACGTAGTGGCGATTGTACCTGACGTCGAACTGTCAAAGGAAAAGTCTGCGTGTGTCGTAGTATTGTTCTACATTAGAAGAGACGAACGATGAATTGCGGTAGCCATCGCAGTGCTTTCTTGTTTTTCGGATAGTGTCGGTCTCCAGAAAACTAACATCTCTCTTTCTTAAAACGTGTCTCGAGCGTATGTCTGTGGTAGAGCTAGGATGGTTGCAAATTTGCGAAAGCTATCTCGTCTAAATTATACCAGAAAACTGCTATGCTTTGGACGCTGCAATAATAATGTGTGTTTATTATCTTACTCAACTGTATATATTTATCCAGAGCTGAAAGTATACATCGCGACGTTGATTAGAAGAAAAAAAATTGGGGGGGGGGGGGGGGGGGGGCGACATTATGACTGAAAAACAAAATGCCCGAATAATCGATTATTAGTCGAATGAAATGTGTTGATAAATCGGGTAAAAACTTGTATTCGATGGGCAGCCGTAACTATTACTGGTTTTGCATTGAACGTATGTAACTAAGTGAATAATTTCCACACATATTTGTGCCATATGGGTCGACATAAATGGCGGCAAACTATTAAGAAAACTAAACGTTGTGAAAGTGTGCTATTTATAAATGACTTATGTGTAGCATGGTTTTACGGCTCCTGAAGCAGCAACATATAGCTTAATTAGTCAGGAAAGGGGAGCAGTGACCACTTGTTTCTCGCAGTCTGTTGTTGCGAGTGGGGACAGATTTCCGTGAATGAGCGCGCATACAGTAATTGCACGCCGAAAGGACCCGAAATAGTTACAATTAAACAAAAAGTTAAAGCCGTTTACAACTCCCTGTAACGCCGAATTAGAGCGCAGCTCTTGAGGAGGAGGAGGGAAGGGTACTGGGGGGGGGGGGTCAAGTGACCTTGGGTGGGGGTCACGTTTGACGATGCCGATGACGTCATCAGTAACGATGACGATGCGGATACCGATGACGTCATCAGTGACGTCACTGATGACGTTATCAGTGATGATGACAATGACGATGCGGATGCCGGTGACGTCATCAGTGATGATGACGATGACGATGCGGATGCCGGTGACATCATCAGTGATGATGACAATGACGATGCGGATGCCGGTGAGGTCATTAGGGATGATGACGATGACGATGCGGATGCCGGTGACGTCATCAGTGATGATGACGATGACGATGCGGATGCCGGTGACGTCATCAGTGACGTCACTGATGACGTCATCAGTGATGATGACAATGACGATGCGGATGCCGGTGAGGTCATCAGTGATGATGACGATGACGATCCGGATGCCGGTGACGTCATCAGTGATGATGACGATACGGATGCCGGTGACGTCATCAGTGACGTCACTGATGACGTCATCAGTGATGATGACGATGACGATGCGGATGCCGGTGACGTCATCAGTGACGTCACTGATGACGTCATCGGGGGTCATGTGACCCCAGGGGTCACGTGACTTGGGGAGCCACGTGACCTTGGGGGTCACGTGACCCTGGGGGAGGGGTCACGTGACCTTGGGGAGGGGTCACGTGACCTTGGGGTGACCTTGGGGTAACGTGACCCTTGGGGAGGGGTCACGTGACCTTGGGGCGACCTTGGGGTAACGTGACCTTGGGGGTCAAGTGACCTTGGGATGACCTTGGTTACGGCGACGGCGACGCCGCTCAAGCCGGGAACGGGCCCCTAAGAGCTGCGCTCTAAAATTGACTACCTTGCCATCTAAGCCACCGACACCTGCGATAGTTCTATATTATCATATTACTAGTGAGTTTGATTAAAAAAATACGTAGTTTCCAGCTTTACATTCAGAGAATGATGTCTAGAAATTATCTTTAGTCGTTAGTTTATTTTGTGTTCCAAACTTAACTCAATTACTCGAACAAATATATATATATATGAGCAATTATTTATTAGGAACTACGCTGTGTCATTATTTATTAAAATTGAAAGGTTTTAGTACTCTACTGTAATTACAATTTGTTCCCTTTATAAACGTTATTTCTTTGTACAACATGAGTCTAAAACATGTAATGCACCAGCAAGTTGATGAAGCACCGAAAATGAGTTAGGGGAGAACCGTTGGATCATCAGAACCTAATAATGAGCTGGTCATAAGTTCATAACATACCTCGATCCAGAAATTCTGGATAATAAAGTTGAGGCTTGGGCGAGTTGGTACATACTTCAGAATTAAAAACACATGCGCTGCGTAGGTCTTGTTATCATAAAATTTAACATAGCTTTGACAGGCAAACTGAACGCCTCGGAGATGCTGGATTTCCCTCCTACGTATAACAACAGTCGCCGAGTCTTTGCTGAAAAATATCCAGAGCAGGCCTATGACTAGTGAAGAAGAGGCCAACAACAGAGGGGGTAGGGAAAGAAGAAAGTTTGTAGTCATTCCCTACATACACAGCTTGGCCCACAACCTGAAATGCATTGCGGGCAGGTGTGACGTCGACGTTTTATTCTCTGCTTCGGACAAGTTGTCAAGGTCTTGCAGAGCTGTTAACCCCTCTTCGAGGGCGGCCATGGCTTGCAGTATGAGGCATCGAAACCGCTTCCTCTCGTCTTCTGAGGGGGTGGTTTATTCCCTCCCCCTGACGTGTGGCAAGCGCCATGTTGGCCATACGGACCGCTGTCTCAATGACAGGTTGAGAGATTACGCTTACAGTGTCTCCACAACCGTGTCTGGTCATCTGGGCATTCAATGCCGCGACTGTGGTTGCCTACCCGACTCCCAACGGTGTGAGGTTGTTAAGCATCGTAGGGACCAGCTTACTCGGAAAATTCTGGAGGCTGTTGAGATAGCGAGGTTGGGTGCAGCATGTGTAGCAGTCCTTCTGCGGCAAAAAGATGAATTTTCGAGCTCCCTGACTTGCTGACACGTACTCTATGCGGCTGTGTCATGGCGCATTTTTTATTGGTGATGTATCACGTTGGCTGAATTGTTTCTTTCTTCTCGTGTTCACGACAACGCAAGTATATATTGCGATTTTGCGATCAATGCAATCAGTTGTAAGTGAGCGCTAAAAAAAAAAAAAATTGGGGGTTTTAAGTGTCAAACCAATGACGGGTATCTGGCACGCCCCAGCGGAGGACTGAGGAGTAAGTCAGGGCTGCGTCCGTGTTACTTCTTTGTCTAGTCCTCGTCTTTTCAGGCTGTTTTTAATTCCGAATTTTGGATAAGACGAAGAACGCAAAAAGACACGCAGGCGAGCTTGTGGAAGACTCATATTTGACCAGAGACTGGAAAAGCTACAATTCTACAAGTAAACCTAACGTCTGCACTTGAACAAATTTAAATACCCTAACATAAGTTTTGTGATTTCCATGATGATATTTGTTTTCAGGACTCACGTAATACGGCATTCTTTCATGGACCTCCGAAACCCTTACCATAAATATGATTTTACTGTCGCACACGACTGATAATCATTTCTAGGCATAAATTTGGTACAAATACGGTTGGGAACAGCATTATAAGAAGAAAAAAGTAAAACAAATAGCATTTCAAAACAAAATTCTTGTTGGTGTCGAAAATTTCTGAAGTGCCTCACTTCCTAACTAATTACATGACTTGTTAGCCACCTTTCCTTCTAATCGGTGATTGTCGCCCCCGCCTGCCAACTCTCTCTTTCGTTACGCCCTCGGCACGTGTCCCAGACGACCCTTCACTTTTTAGTTCGAGATTTTTGCAGCAGTGTTCT